ATATTACTTTTATTAATATGTTAATTCCAATGTATTATGGGAATTTATTATCTTCCTCACTTCTGTTAATTATCATGGCAAAACTGATCAAAATTGAACAGTGATAAAAAGAAGATGGTTTTGCAAATATGAAACTATACATTATTCACATAGATGTAATTTTTTTAAGATTTCATTTTATGTGCATTTGCTAGAGTTTCTATATATGTACTATGTACACAAAGGTACCTACAAAGGCCAAAAGAGGGTGTTAGATTCCCCTAGTACTGGAGGCATAGACAGTTGTGAGCTATTAGATGTGGGTACTAGGAACCAAACACAGGTCCCCACAAGAACAGCAAGGACTCTTAACCTCTGCACCGTCATTCCAGCCCAAGAGGCTTAATTTCTTTAACACATTCACATTCAGATAAGTCAACCATGAACTGTATTTTCTCAGCAATCTTTTAACATTTAATATTTATAAAATATCTTCAGTAAAGCCAATACTACATTACAAAAGAGGTTTAAAGAATATGCCACTATTTGTATTGCCATATTTATTAGTTCTAGAACATAATAATCATAATAAAATATCTAATTTTAAATATGAAGGACTGTCATTGAGGACAAATACATACACTAAAACTTGAAATAAGTAAGATTTATCTATGCTTAATGATTACTACAGGTAAATTTTGCTGCATAGAAATTATAATTTTGATACTTAAAAAGTGAGACATTAAATTAGCTGATACTATAATTTTACACCCCTATGTAAGAATACACTAAGAAAATAACACTGGCCACTCTGACTAAGGAGAATGGTCAGTGCCTTCCTCAGACACTGTCAGGGATACTTCCTCCTGCTTACTCCTGCAGCAGATCAGGAACACACACAGAGACCACAGCCAGACATAATGAAGAGAGTGACAGACATTGAACACAGCTCTAGATGTAATGTCTTCATGAAATCCCTCCCCTCCAGGCTCAGAAGAGAAAACAGAGTGTAAGATTCACAAGGCTGTATAAATCAACGATTTGAGGCACATGTGAACTCACAGAAGCGGCATGAACAAGGCCAGTTCTACACCAGATGGAGTCCTCGAGCTGCAAGGAGAAGTAGACACATGCTTCTGTCCCTAATCCAGAAGCCCTCTCCAACTGATAACCATTTGCAAACGAAAATTTAGTTTTTCCTAAGGGAAACAAAAACTCTTAAGGGATAAGGTTGCATGCCCAGCAGTATATAGGTAATAGAAAATGAACTCAGTGGCATCTTTGGAAGTTCCTTGTCTCATGTCATGTCAGGGCTTTTCCTTTTTTTTTTTTTTTTTTTTTTTTTTTTATTCATAATTTAATTTTTATCTTTTTTAGTGTGTATGTATTTCTCTCTCTTTTTACCCTATAGGTCCTATGCTACAACCCCCATAGATTCATGTGTTTGAACACTTGACCCATACATAGGGAGTAGCACTAGTAGGAGGTGTGGCCTTGTTGGAGTAGGTGTGGTCTTGTTGTAGTAAGTGTGTCACTGTGGAAGTTGTCAGGATCCATTTCATCTTGCCTCAAATTCAGAGAGCTCAAGTGTGTCTTACTACCTATAAGAGGATAGTTTGGTGACTACAGGGTATTTTGGCCTTGGTAGTGGATGTCTCTATATAAATAACAACAGACTTGGGCCCAGGTGTATTTACTTTTGACCTTGAGAGCCAGTTGGCAGGTGCAGCTACCAAATACCTGGAGGATTAGGGGAAGTAAGTCTCTTTGTCCCTTATACATGACAATAGAAGTCTTCTGTCATTGTCCCCTCTTCTGGTTGTATACTTAAGATTGTTAAAGAATAAACTAGGGACACATCCAGGATGGATTGAATGGCCCTCCTGACAACTATCCTGTGTCTCTGTCTCTCCTCTGAACCCCTTTAGCTAGTTTTTCTTTTATCCACACTCCCCCTCTCAGGTACTAATGGTGGGCTGGTCATCTGGCTCCTACTGTAGCCCCACAAAGACAGCTTCTCACAGGAAATGGGGTTTGAGGTCTCATATAAACTCAAGCCACACCCAGTGATACAATTCACTTCCTACTGCCTATGGATCAAGATATAGAACTCTCAGTACCATGTCTGTCTGCATGCTGCCATGCTTTTCACTATGACAGTACTGGACTAAACCTCTGAAACTGCCAGCCGGTCCCAATTAAATACTTTTCCTTTATAAGAGCTGCCAAGGTCATGGTGTCTCTTCACACCAATGGAAATCCTAACTAAAACAAGTTCTTTGTGTAGATATTATAGCTTCCAGCTTAGTGTTTTTAATGGGATTCCTTCCCCTCTCTTGTTTTGTCCTATTCTGTTATGTTAGTTTATGTTTTATCTCATTTTATTTTATGATTATTCCTTAGAATCCTGTTTATTTTCTAATGAGAGACAGAAGCAAGGGTGTGGGGGGATGTCCAGATGTGATGGGAAGCTGTGAGGAACTAGGAGGAGCAGAGGAAGAGGAAACCTTACATAATCAGGATATATCAAGTGAGGAAAAAAGAAATCTATTTTCAATAAAAGGGAAAAACAACAAATAACACATTTGGGGAAAGGAAAGCATAGTAAACAAAAACAAACTCAAAAAAAATATTTCCCAGGAAAGAGTGACTTCCACTGAATAACTGAAAAAGCATAGTGTGAGGGCGTTTGAGAGCACACTAACCATGTCATCTGTAGGGTCACCATGGTCTCACAGCTGGTCTCTACTGAAAGAAACCTTGTCATAGAATATGAAGAGATAAATACGTTACAAGGTCTATTTTGTACAGCTCCCATTCTGCTATTAAGTCTGCACAGTGCATGAAATCTGCTGTCCCCCTGACATTTCTAAATCATCACTAATCCCACTGAAGTCTGTATGTCTTAACCTGACATAACATATAGCATTATCTGACATAATATATATTTATAGTGTTATTTCTTTTGTAGAAACCAGAGGTGATGGAAGACTCCAAGGAAAGAACTGATAGACACATGAACTCACAGAGGCTACACATGTTCAAACAGACAAAATCCCACAACTGAGAAGTTGAAGAGAACATAAAGATCTTCCCTTAGACAAGAAGAGACTTGCAAATAGTACCAATTGGAAAAAGAAAAATCAGTTTTTCCAATGGCATATCACTGGGTATATATATCAACTACACTACAGGGCAGATCCCATGCCCAGGAGTAGCTGGCAAACACAAAAGACTCCATGTCATTTTATGTTCTTCTTGTTTCATTTTGGTCTTCTGTTTTTCCTTGTGTGGTTTTTTCTAGCGGTTGGGGGGAGGAGTCATTTTCATTTTTTGAGAAAGAGAAAGAACATGAACTTCGGCAAGTAGGGAGGTGGGAAGGACTAAGAAGAAGGGTAAAGAATAAAATCAAAAGTTAAAAATAAAAGCAAAAGAAAAACAGCACAAATGATAAATTAACAAATATAAAAGAATTACAAATATATACAATATACTATTTTTTAATGTTTAATTGAAATAAAATTATATCGCTTTCCTTTTCTTTCCTCCCTCCAGATTCCCCATATGCCCTCCCTCCAATTCCTCAAATGCTTCCCCAACTCTCAAGTTGATGGCCACTTATTTCTTTATTAGTTACACACAGGTATATGTGTATTGCACAAATACATAATTACAACCTTCCAAAGGTGTTTTATTTAAAAAATAAATAAATATAATGCATGCTTCTAAAAAGGCATAAGAAAACAACACTCAAATATTACTAACTCCTTAAATTAACTTTTGATATAATATATTCGAGGGTACTAAGTAATGTATTGTAAAAATGAGCCTAATCAATATCTACACTTTAGAATTACACAACTGGAACGTTGAAGCATGATTTGAGAAGTCTACTATATTTCTTTGACCAGTAAAAATATAACATAAACATTGGGTCAATGGTTCTCAACCTTCCTAATGCTACAACCACTTAATACTTCCTCATGTTATAGTAATCCTATCCCATAAAATTATTTTGTTGCTACTTCATAACTATAATTTTCTATTATTAATTGTAATTTAAATAACTACTACAAAAGATATTTGATATGTCACCCCACCAGGGTCATGACCCACAGAGCAAGACTTTGAAACAGAAATATCAAAAACAGAAAAACTCAGAAATAATATGTCAAATACATTTCTCTCGTGTTACTTTGGAATAACCATGCCATCAAGAGTAAGCAAACCGTCAATACTTGAGACATATATAATCAAAGACCTTCTGAACTTATAAGAGAATAAATATCACCAAATATTTTCACTTCTAAAAGATCACTGGGTACCCAGTGAAAACAAGAAACACACAAAATCTCATCAGAACCCAGGTGTTGGCCTTTTCTATGTGTACTCACTAGCTATTCAAACTTTGCCCTGAAAAAATATGGAACTTGAAGCTTCTTAGCCAGCGAAACCATCACTCTAAACCTTGAATGTCAGGAGCCTATTTCAAATGTCGAAGAAAAGAATGAATAAAGACATCTAGATATCACATCAACATGGGATTTATAACCTAAATAAGCAGCATTTCTCCTGGATATTTAGTCCATAGAAATCACAACAAAACCTACACACACGTGTTTACAGATGCTCTATTCATAATCACCAAAAGCTAGAAAGAACTCATTCTCCTTCAACCAGTGAATCAAAGAACAATCCCTTAACAGCAAAGAAGGTATTCTGACAAACGCTAATATACTCAACAATCTGAATATGTCTCAAAGGCATTAAAAGCTAGGTACAAAAAGGTATGGTTTAGCCTTATCTGTTGGGCTGCCTTTCAGAGTCCAGAGGAGCTTGAAAGTTTTCTTTTTCCTATATGGGCTTTGTAGTCTAAGTTTTTAGACTTTTATTAATTTTTCCTATTTCAGGCACAGGTTAGTTAGTTGCAAAAGCTGAGGGCATACCTTGTCAGAACTCCAAAGGTAGGCCAGTACAAATACTAACAACTTCTACCAATTTTTAATCATGAAAGGACTTACCAAGTTCACTGAGACTCTGAGCAGCTTTGGTTATCTCTCTACTTCCTCCTTGCAGTTGTCCCTGGAGTCTCTTACTGAGATATAAGATGCGAATTATTCTCCGAAGCAAATCACAGGCAACCTGTTCAAGTAACACAGTATTAAGAAAGTGGAGTAGCTCCATGAAATTTCATTGTGATTATGGTCAGTTTCATCTGTGAAGCTCTCCATTCTTCAGATATGAAAAACATTATTCATCCTTTTAGTTCTTTTAGTTTCCCAATGGACACCATAAATAACCACATATCTTTAAAAAGAACATCCACAACCCCATATTTAACCTTTACAAAAAAAGAAAAAGAAAAAGAAAAAAACTTCAACTTATTCTGAATGGAGCAAATCTGAGATTCTATGGACTATGGAGTCAAAGATTCTTTTCAACCCTGTTCTAGGCCAATTGCTGTTTGACTTCACATTAATTCAAATGGAAAGGTTCAAAAAGCTCCAATGCTAAAACCATATTTCTATGAAATTAAATAGAAATCTGAAGAAGTGATAACCACACAACAGCTCTGATTACTTAAATCCCCAGGTGATGGCAACGTGTAGCCACAATGACAACTGCTGTGCTTGGCTACCTACCATTGCTTCCAATCTAGTTTCTGTTCTCAATGTCTAGGGGAATAGTCTTTAAAACCTTCAACTTCACTAATCCTGAAAGAATAAATTATGCTTATCCACTTGAATTTTCCTAATGGGTCTTATCAATAAATTACAGAAGAGAAAATTAATAAAACAAAACTCAAAAAAACTATTACTAACTTTTATGCCACTTCCTAGTTCTTCTTTCCCAAATGTAACTGAGGTTTTAAAAAAATATTAAAATGTGTGCATGCTCTGATTCAGAACTGGGTGCAGAGCCATTGCCTTGAGAGTGAGTGAAAGAGCAGGCTGAGATCATCTCCAGCCTCCACAGTGATAAAAAACAAAGGTAATGTATGCTGCTTAACACTACCATCTTTGAAAAGCAAGAACTTTTTACTGAGGAAACCCCCATCAGGTAGCAATAAGAATCAAAAACTCAATGCCAGCCCAGGGCTTCTCTGCCCCAGGCCAGGAAGAGACAATAGCTACATGAGAGCTGAGCAGCATACAAATATCTAAAACACAGGCCCACCAGTCAGGCTCTGTTATGCTGAACAAATATAGAGTGGGCTGTGGATGGGAGAGTGAGACAGATGGCTCATGTCCTTATAGAGAGAGGCAGATCCAAAGAGATGAAGGTGGCAAGGAGTAGACTAAGGCAGATGGCCTGCCATGGTAATGTCCAGGCCTGGGCTGCAGCCATGGGCCATGTCCATACCCAAGACCCTGCCTAAGCCATGGTCTGTGTTGGTATCTATGGCTCTTATTACTACCATAGGCCAAAAGGATAGGGTTTCACAGAGTTGGCCCAACCCCTCATTGGTTGCAACACTAAAGAACTGGTCTGGCCCCTCACCAGCAGTTGCAGCACTCGAGAACAGGTCCTGCACCTTGCCTGGGCAGCACAACAGAGCTGACCCTGTTGGTGGGGCATGGACAAGCTCTGTGAGGTGCTGAGAGTGGCAGAATTGCTTCCACCCTGCTTTGTCTGCCATGTGGTGGCAAGGGCAACAGAAAGATGCCCTCCCCACTTTGCCCCACCACCACCACCACATGTGGCAGGCAGGATAGCTGATCCTGCCTCTCATCAGATGCAGCACTTGAGAGGGCGGGCCTTGTACCTCCCTGGACAGTATAGCAGAAGTGATCCCAGTGAAGGTGGTAAGGGTGAGCTGGTGGTGAACGTGAACATGAGAATCTGGGCCCGGCCCTCATCTGCCATATGGTGGTATGAGCAAGGGAAAGAAGCCATTTACCACTTACTGCCTGTGGTGAATGGGAGAGCTGTCCCTGTGGTCACAAGGCTGGCCCTGCCTCTCACTTAGCATGGTGGTCCCTGTATCTAGGAAACACAGTAGAGCTAGCCCTAGTGGTGTAGATTTGGCACAGAGGGCTGGACCAATGCTAGAGAGCTCACCCTGGTGTTGATGATTAAAGAGAGCAGGCCAACCCAGAAACCAGGGCTATGAGTTGGTCCATCAAATATCCATACCACCTATGATCTGCTGGAGCATGTGAAGGGATGGGACCTAAGCTGCAGGATCTCCATGACACAGGATATCCAACTGGAGTTCCAGTGAGGGCCCAATACTGATAATATGGCAGAAACCAGAAGCCTCAAACCAAATGAATGACTCACTGCAATGAATACTTGCAAGAAAGACGTAGGATCTAAAGGGTTTATTGTGTGACTCACTGTGTCACACTACAGCTTCCACAACAAGATTTTTCCCTTCCTTTTCTTTGAAATTTTACTTTGTTTTATCTTTCAGGGAGGTTGCAGGAGCAGAGGGTGGATGAGAAGGGATGGGGAGATGAGCTGGATGGATAGATGATATGAAATCCACATACACAAACAAAATTCATAAAAAGATAAATTTTTTAAAAATGTACACTCCAAGGGCTGGGAAAGATAACAGACCCCCATTACCATCAACTCAATAAAAACCCAGATTCAGCATACATCTGTAACCCCAGCACTGTGGAAGAGAAGACAGGATACATAGGGATTGCTGGCTCCAGGTTCAGGAAGACCCTGTCTCAAAAAAAAAAAAAAAAAAAAAAAAAAGGGGGGGGTGGGGAATCAAGGGAGACACCAGACACCTGTAGCCTCATGTTCACATACATACATGTTCACATACCTACACACACACACAACAATTTAAAAAGCTCCAGGTATAAATGTCCAGGTATAAAATTCTCTTATAGGTAAACACAGAATATACTACAGCCATCCTAGCCACACTCAGACATTCATATAGCATATACACACAAACATACATAGTCAAAGACATTAGGTAGCAAACACGTTTGCGTAACTGCTGTTCATAGTAACCATATGATGAATAAGAAATAAGAATTTCCATCTAAAAACAAAATGCTTGGCACAACTATTTTATATATTCGTTTGTTCATCTTTTTTTTTTTTTTTTTTTTTTTTCCTGGAGACAGGATCTCACTATGTAGCTCTGGCTGGCCTGATATTTGCTATGTAGACCAGATTGGCTTTAAACTCAAAGAAATCTACCCGTCTCTGCTTTCTGAGTGCTAGGATTAAAGGAAGCACCACAATGGCCAGCTAAAATCTCCATCTTTTAATTAAATGCTATTTTCTACATGTTTAACATAAGCACAATTTAAAATTCAAAACATGAAAAAAAGCAATGCTCAAAAATCACCCTCATATCTCTATACTCTGAACTATGTTCTCAACTAAAACAACCAGTATGACCAGTTCCTCAATTAACAGAAGTATTTTTGCTATTATTTGCTTGCTTTAACTTATTTTTTATTTTTGAAGACAGTGGCAGTGCCCACATGGCCTGGAACTCATTGTAAAACAGGCTGGATGCACTTTTTCCAGCCCTGCCTCTCTCTACCTTTCAAGTGCTAGGATTCCAGGAAGGAACTCCTATCACCTAGGATTGTACCACAGAGCCTGGCAGAACTGTTCATTTCCATGAACAATGTGGAATCTTGAATCTTGCACAACCATTCTGAGATTTTAAATACATCATGAGGAGAAATATCAGGCCTCAGTCTATATCACCTAAAACTCTCCATTCAAATTTACTCAGTCTTACCCAATAAAGGGAATGCCTTCAAACAACAGTTTCAAGTTCACTTCTAATGTTCTACTATTAACAATCTTATTCACTGCCTACTACATAACAAGCTGCTACAAAACAATCTTAATTCCATTCCTTCAATGATTGCCACAAGCCAGTCCTTATCAGTTCCAATTTCACACAATAGTCTCTCAATGAAATCCACCTTCAGGGATTTACCTTCTTAAAAACAGTTTTCAACACTCCAGTCCTCTTTTTAATAAACTTTAGTGCCTCTCCACTTACAGGCTAGTTAAAATTTCCAACAGCAGCATTAATAACATCCTCATTCAACAAGTCTTAGCTAATCTGAATGAAAGCCATTAATTCTCACCATTTCCCAAGACACATCTCTCCTATACTCAATTCCCTTTCCTTATATCTTATTTCCACTAATCATAAAATGTTTTAAGCCTCCTTCACAGATTTATAGCTATACTTAGAACCATACAACACAGGGAAAAAAAAAAAAAAAACAGGATACCAGCCATCACACACTCTGACACATCACTATTCATCTCTTGCTCCACCTGAGAGAAACCACTATTCCTGTTTGTTTGTTTGTTTACTTGCTTATTTTTGAGACAGGGTTTCTCTGTAATAGCAACCCTGCCTGTCCTGGAACTCACTTTATAAACCAGGCTGACCACAAACTCACTGAGATCTGCCTGCCTCTGCCTCTTGAGTGCAGGTGTACCACCACACCGGCTACCACTATTTTCTTTTAAGGTAATAACTTCCTTATCTTTATCCATGGATTTGTTACTGAAATAAATGAATATCTCTCTATCTGTGTGTGTGTGTGTGTGTGTGTGTGTGTGTGTGTGTGTGTGTATACATATACACACATAAATGTGCATATGTTGTTACAAGTTACAGGCTTTTATGACTTTTTAGTCTACACCTTTCCTCAGCTTGTCTCTGGAAATCTGTGGGACACGCTGATCACCTGTCTACTAGGCATCCCAGAAGTGCAGTACACTTTCACAAGTGCACATCTTCACAGTGCACTTTGACAAGTGCCTTCTGTATTTCCTATAAAATGGTTGGATGCAGGCGGCTTCATCAGTATGAGTTTCTCTTTCTGATATTAAGTATCAAAATCCATTAAAATCTAAGTGATAATAGAATCAATCTAATTCTACTGTTTTGTCTTTATTTGTTAACACATAAAATTTCTATCTCCTTTATTATTTGTTAGTCTCAAGTGCCTGGAAATAAGAATATTTCATCTTGGTTTGGTTTATCAGTTTCAAAAGGCAGTGTTTATTTTAAGTTTTTATTACTTGTAGTGTGTATGTGTGTGTGTGTGTGTGTGTGTGTGTGTGTGTGTGTGTGTTAGAGAGGGACACCTAACTCAAGTCCTCTGCAAAAGCATTTACATTCTATG